TCTGTTGAGAGGGGAAGGTAAATACAAAGGTCCTGAGGCAGGAGCATGCTTTGCCTATTCAGGTAACAGGAGAGAGATAGACAATATTTGTTTTTCAATGAAATTAACCTACTTTGAAATTCTTCCATCATCTGTACCGGATATGTATAAACATCAGTAAAGAAAACTGTATTTCCGTCAAAAGCAATATACGGACCCTTCTTTCTTAGTTTTCTAGAGCGTTCTTTTTAATATTGTAAAGCTATGTTGACTGCTAACCTAGTATGTCCCATTAAATGGAAATTTTTTGAGGTTTTTTTTTTTTAACTGAAGTATAAGAAATTACAAAATGGTCCATTAAAAACTGAAAAGTTTTAGAAATATTTAACAGTTGGGAATTCCTTTACCATCTACCTACGACTTCATGTTTTTATAAAGACCTTAATTTCAGGGAGAGAAAGTGTACTTCAATCTATTTTGTCCTTGTGTTTTAAGTATTTTTTTAGCACCTAAGAAGAACATCCATCTTGCCTGATTATACATGGTTTAATGTCTTCTTAAAATTCTGAATACTAAGAGTCAGAAATTCTCTTAGAAACTACTCAGTTATTTCTAGTGTTATTTACAGCACACAAAGGCCTCTTGAAAAAATGTTGAGAGTTATTTAAATGTCATTGTCAGAGGATTTAAAAGGTTCAGGGGACCAGGACCTTTTCCCTTTAGGTCACCAAATCAAAAGCCATCTTTCTCTGAAGTAACTAGAAGATGTTTTCACATGAAGGTTGCTCATGTGAAACCTTGAGCTAGGTTTTTTTCCTTTTTTTTTTTCTGTTAAGAATCCCTTTAGTATGCAATTAAAAGTTTCACAGGTAGTTTTTTTTTAAACTAAAAAAACCCCCCCAAAGCTCACAACACTATCAAACTTACAGAAAAGTTGCAATACTGTACAAAAAAACCCTGTTTTTTCTGGAAATTTTGAGATTAAGTTGCTGATATGATACCCTTGAATACTTTAGTATTTATGTTCCACCTTCTACAAAACAACTATCAAAATCAGGAAATTAACATAGATACATTACTCCCATTTAATCCTTGGACCCCATTCAGATTTCTCCAATTGTTTCTCTAAGAGTATTCAACTAAGAATCACACATTGTATTTAGTTGTCATAACTCGTCACTCTCTTTCAGTCTGAAACAGTTCCTCAGTTTTTCATGACCTTGACACTTTTGAGGATTACAAGCCAGTTATTTTGTAAACTGTCCCCCAATTAGAGTTTAGTTTGTTTTCCCATGGTTAGATTCATGTTATGCATATTTGGCAGGAATATCACATGTGGTGAAGGCCTGGGGTGGGGTGAGTGGGAGCGGGATAGAGGGAGTCAGTGGGGGCGGGAAGGATATCTGTAACACTTTCAACAATAAATATTTTAAAGAATGAGATAGGATGAGTCCTAAAAAAAACAAAACAAAAGACCCATGTCAAGGCCCTGGCCAGTGTGGCTCAGTTGGTTGAGCATCATCCCATGCTCTGAGAGGTCACTGGTTTGATTCCTGGTCAGGGCACATGCCCGGATTGTGGACTCGATCCCCAGTAGGGGACATGCAGGAGGCAGCTGAGTGATGTTTTCTTTCTCATCCATGTTTCTCATCAGCGTTTCTCTCTCCCCCTCTCCCTTCTACTCTCTCTAAAATCAATAGAAAATGATATACAGGCAGTCCTCGGGTTACGTCAGACTCTACGTACGTCGTTTCGTGGTTACATCGCTATCTCCCATTTATTTATAAAAAAAAAAGTTCCGTCATTTTGACGTATGTACATATGTGCTTTATGTTTTTTATTTATTTACCACAAGTAAAGGTCAGGAACTGTTATCTTTTAATTTTTTTTTTTTGCTGTTTCACTTCATTACTGCTGTGTATGTGCTCCATGTGAGTGAGGTAGATACTTATGTAGGTGAGTTCCGACTTACGGCGAAAATCGAATTACGCTCCAACGTAACCCGAGGACCAGTATATTTTTTAAACCATAGCAAGCACAGCAGCTGGGAAGCAAGGAGGAGAAGTTCTAGAATGGAGAAGGCAGGGAGGGCTTTTTTTGTGTATAAATTCTTTGGCTGATTCAAATCTGTAGCTGATCCTTGAACTACACTTATATGAGTCACACTCTGAGCAGCCCATCTGAACAGAAATTTGTGCTTCTAAAAGGATGGTCTGGGCCCTAACCAGTTTGGCCCAGTGGATAGAGCACCGGCCTGCGGACTGAGGGTTCCCAGGTTCGATTCTGGTCAAGGGCATGTACCTTGGTTGCGGGCACATCCCCAGTGGGGGGTGTGTGGGAGGCAGCTGATCGGTGTTTCTCTCTCATCGATGTTTCTGGCTCTCTATCCTTCTCCCTTCCTCTCTGTAAAAAATCAATAAAGTATATTTAAAAAAAATAAAAATAAAAAAATAAATGGGTGGTCTGGGAAACACTCAATCCCAGGCATAGTGTGACATCTGGTTACCCTAGCTACTTCCCACCACAAATGAGACAGAATTTGAGTTTAAATCCAGGCAAGTTAACTATATGCTTTATTTTTAAAAAGTAAAATAAAGAAAAATTCCCATACTGTTGAAAGGAACATAACAGGACCCGTAAAATCTATAACACCATTTACAATGTCCAGTGTATTATCCAAAATTTTTAGGTCATGTGAAGAAGGAAAGTGTTACCTGTACTTAAGAGAAAAGGAAATCAGTGGTTACTGAACTCAAGATGACATAGATATTGGAATTGGAAGACAAGGATCCTAAACAGCTATAATAATTATACTCAAAGATGTAAAGGAATATATGCTTGTAATGAATTAACAAATCTCAGGAAAGAAACTATTTAAAAAGAACAAAATGTAAAGTTCTAGAACTAAAAATTATAATATATGAAATAGTTCATTGGACAGGCTTAACAGCAAATTAAGATGATAGACACAAGTAAGTGGATTTGAAGATCTATATGTATATATAAAAGCCTAAACCCGTGGTCGGCAAACTGCAGCTCACAAGCCACATGCAGCTCTTTGGCACCCTTGAGTGCAGCTCTTCCTAAGCCTTAGGAGTACCCTAATTAAGTTAATAACAATGTACCTACCTATATAATTTAAGTTTAAAAATTTTGGCTCTCAAAAGAAATTTCAATCGTTGTACTGTTGATATTTGGCTCTGTTGACTAATGAGTTTGCCAACCACTGGCCTAAACTGAACGACCGGACGCTATGATGCACACTGACCACCAGGGGGCAGGCTCTCAATGCAGGAGCTGCCCCCTGGTGGTCAGTTCGCTCCCACAGCCAACCTCCCCTGGCTGGCCAACCTCCCACAGTCCCTCCTCCTGGCTAGCCAGACAGCCCTGATCAGTCCGATCAGGACTGGGCGAGATGGCCTCGATCGCTGGCCAGGCCGAGGGACCCCACCCATGCACGAATTCGTGCACCTGGCCTCTAGTATATCAATGAAAGTATTCAGTCTGAACAAAAGAGAGAAAAAATGTTGAGGGGGAAAAAGAACGGAGTCTGAGGGAACTGTGGGGAAATATGAAAAACTGTAACGTATATATGCAATTGAAATCCTAAAAGGAAAGGAGCAAGAGAATGGAGGAGGAAAATTTTAAAAAATAATGTCCAAAAATTTCTCAACTTTGGTGAAAAACATAATTTTACAGATAAGTTCAATGAACCCAAGTGGGATAAATTCACATAAAATCTACCTAGGTATATCAAGCCAAAAGTAAAGAGAAAACCAAAGGTAAAGAGAAAATCTTAAAAGTATTTGAGAAAAAGAATAATATATAAATATTATCACTAACTTATCAGAAACAGTAGAGGCTAGAAGACAGTAGAATGCCATTTTTAAAGTGCTAGATGAAAACTGTCAACCCAGAATTCTATATCAAGTAAAAATATTCTTTAGAATTGAAGGCAAAATAAAGATATTTCCAAATAAATTAAAACTAAGTTGTCATTCACACAGTGGCACCACTAAAAATGTGAAAGGAAGTTTTTTATTTTTTTATTATTTTTAAAAATATATTTTTATTGATCTCAGAGAAGGGAGAGGGGGAAAGAGACAGAAACATCAATGAGAGAGAATCATTGATCCGCTGTCTCCTGCACACCCCCTACTGGGGATCGAGCCTGCAACCTGGGCATGTGCCCTTGACTGGAATCCAACCCTTTAGTCCAGCGGTTCTCAACCTGTGGGTCGCGACCCCTTTGGCGGTCAAATGACCCTTTCACAGGGGTCACCTAAGACCATCCTGCATATCAGATATTTACATTACGATTCATAACAGTAGCAACATTACAGTTATGAAGTAGCAACGAAAATAATTTTATGGTTGGGTCACAACATAAGGAACTGTATTTAAAGGGCCAGAAGGTTGAGAACCACTGCTTTAGTCCATAGGCTGGTGCTCTATCTACTGAGCCAAACTGGCGAGGGCTAAAGGAAGTTCTTTAGACGGAGTTCCACAGATGGGAGCTCAGGTTTTCATGAAAAAAAAAAAAATCAAAAGCACCAGACATATTAAGTATGTGGGTAAATACAAAGCACTAATTTTTCTTCTTAATCTCTCTCTTTTTTTAAAAAGACAATGTAGCAAGTTTTTTCCTTCTTTTAAAAAAAATTATTTTAGGGAAGGAAGGGAGAGAGAAAGAGACAAACATCAATGGATTGCCTCCCTCATGTGCCCAACCTGCAAGCTAGATGTGTGCCCTGACGGGGAATCACGCCCACTGCCTCCAATCAACTGAGCCACACCAGCCAGGGCTCTTCTTAATCTCTTTAAAATACAATTGCTTGTGTAGCTAATACCTTTTATACTCCTTGAGGCACTTTTTAAGGAGGATATAAAGAATAGTCTTGCTCTGAAGAGGAAATCTGCTGCTAAAGCTTCCAAAATGGTATCCTTATTAATTTTAGGATTCTCAAATCTGAAAAAATTTTTCTCTAAGCAGCTAATATTTATTATATATACTTTTTCAGATATAAAACCAAATGTGGAACTGAAAAGCAGTCAGGAGCAGTCTGTGCCTACAGGTAAAGTAGCATCAGTTCTTTCCTGTCTAGAAATAGAACTTTACTGAAATTACCAAAGAAAGAGGAACATTCTGATTGCAGTAAAAATGCTATGGAAATGGGTTGGGGAAGAAAAATATGGTTGTCTCTTCCTGTTACAAAAATAACTCATCAATTTAGATCATATAAGTTCTTTGGTATTTTAGGACCAAACCATACCCCACCTACTGATTCGTTTGAAGAAAGACAGTTTTTGTTGAGTAATATAGTAGCTTCTATTTGAACAACTTGAGCTTTTCACTCTAGAACACTGATCAGCAAACTTTTTTTGTAAAGGGCCAGATAATAAATATTTTAGATTTTCTGGGCCACATATGGCCTCTATTGCAGAAACCTCTTTATATTTTTTACAGGCCTTTAAAAATGTAAAAGCCATTCTACCTCCTGGGCCCATGCAAAGACAGGCCATGGTTAGATTTGGCCCTTGGGCTATAGTTTGCTGACCCCTGCTTCACAATGAACTATAAACATTTAAAATAATTTATTTCCCCCAAATAACTCCTATGTTTTCTCTGTTGATTAACTCACTTTTTAAATCAAACTTATGTTGTACTAAAAAATTTATCACTTAAATGCTGTTTTGTGTTACTGTGAGTTGGTACCATTTTTCTTGTGAGTGTTCTTTTTGGGGTGAGTTTTGATCCTGTTTATTACATTTGTTTTCATGTAGGAATTTTGTTATTTGCTGGGCTGATTCTTTTTAATATATTTTTATTGATTTCAGAGAGGAAGAGAGAGGGGGAGAGAGAGAAACATCAATGATGAGAGTGAATCATTGATTGGCTGCCTCCTGTACGCCCCCTACTGGGGATTAAGCCTGCAACCCAGGCATTTGCCCTGACCTGGAATTGACCTCCAGTTCATAGGTTGATGCTCAACCACTGAGCCACACTGTTCTGGCTCCACATAATTACATTTATAATGTGAACAGAAAAGGAAAATAGGAAGCTTACTCTAAGGAAAGCATCTTTCCAAAATTGGGTTATATTAGTATTTTCAGGCTAAGTATTTCTCATCACTACATATCAATACTTCTTGGTCATAAATAGCAATAACATTCTACCAGATACTGTGAGATATCCCAAAGGAGAGAGAATTTCTGTACAGAAAGAACCTGAGCTCATTTTAACTCAGGTGAAAGAAATATTCAAGAAAATCATGTTTAATGGAAAAGTGTATGAACCCTGGATATATTTCTAAACCTCAAGAGTTTTCACATATATTGCACTTAGAGTATATGTGAAAGGAATACTATCACTAAGAATTTGTGTGAAGCTGAGATGGGAATCTACTTTATACATGTTTATAAAAAATAGTTTAAGTTGACTGCATAGTTAAAATTCTTTTTATCTCCTAGAAGGTCCAGTGATTTTAAATGACTACAATTTAACCAAACCTCATGAGACAGAAAATGTGGACAGTGCAGAATGCCCAACCAATGAAGATGAAGATATGGAAGGTGAGCCATAGTGTACAGACAACTAATGGTTATAGATATGGTTAAGACTTAATATGAAGAAGAAATGAGGAATTCTCCAAGGAAAACTTGTATTTGTGGATTGATTTGGGAGTAATTCAGTTTTATTCAGTTTACAAGTATTTGCGTTTAATAATTTGCTATATAGGTTATCAGCAAATTTTGAGAATTTAAGGTATTTATTCAGTATTCAAGTTATAGTAACTTTTTAAAGTGTTATTTTTACTCCTTTTCACTATAAAAACAATACATGTTCATTATAGAAAGATTTGTCTGGGGTGTTTTCCAACACCAACAACCAATTCTTCAAATTTAGACACCAGCTGGGAATCTAAAAATTCAATTATCATACTAACTCCTGGAGTTAATGCTGAACCCACAGGTTAAGGGATCAGTTTCACAGACTGCTCTCACTTCAGACACAAGTTGTAAGTACGAGATCCCCTGGTTACCTGCACACTAATTCTAGCTTGGCTACCAATTCAGGGTTTTCCACAAACCTCCCTCAGGTTTGATAAGTTGCTAGAATGATTCACAGAATTTAAGAAAGCACCTTTCTTACTATAGCCAGTTAATTATAAAGGATACAACTCAGGAACAGGCAAATGGAGCAGGGTATGGTGTGGGAGAGTTTCCATGCCCTCTGGGCATAACACTCCCACAACTTTGATGTGTTCACCAACCCAGAAGCTCTCTGAATCTCATTGTTCAAAAGTTTTTATAGTGCTCAATCTATAGTCCCTTCTACTCTTCCTGGTGGTTGGTGGATGGGGCTGAAAGTTCCAATCCCCTAGTCATTTGGTCTTTCTAGTGACCACCCCATACTGAGGCAATTTAGGGCCCCCACCCTAAGTCACCTTAGTAGCATAAACTCAGGTGTGAGTGAAAGGGGCTTGTTATGAATAATAAAACATACTATCACTCAGGAAATTGCAAGGGTTTTAGTAACTCTGTGCTAGGAATCTGAGACTAAGACCAAATATATTTTTGTATTACACCACAGGACACCCTCTGGTCTTTGACCATGAATCTCTTATAGCAAAAGGATCATAAAGGTCAAGAGATCCTGGAATAGGGGAGGAAGAACTTGCCTCTTGCCTTCAGGGTTCTTTCAGCTGTTCTAATAATTAAACCTATAGGATGCAGGTTAACCAGAGAAAATAACCAAATCTAATCACGTTCATCTGTATGGGGACCCTACATACATGAGAAAGTCAAAGATCCCACATTGAGAGGTTCAGAGACAAAAAGGGAAAATGAGGTATATATGACATTCTGAGCTAAGGTTGAGGTAAGATACCTCAGGACTTCAGGGGATCTTAAACAATCAATGTTTCAATTATTAGTTCCAATTCTCTATGAAAATATTATTATGAGCAGGCTACCTCTCTGCCCATTGGTTGACATTATGGGCTATAAAGTGTATGCCTTGGTCTGAAGAAATATGACTTGGCAGTCCAAATTGGTGCAATGGCTCCTGTTTCAGTTCTTTTTTAGTACTCTGACCATTTGCATCTACCACCAGGTAAGCGAAGTCTAATCCAGAGTCAATGCTTATTTTGTCAAAAAACCATTTGTAGTCCTTTTGGGGCTACTTCCATTGGTTCCGTATAATCCACTTGTCAGCTATGTGCCGGGCCTTCTTCCTGAGGAATCTTACCCATAGTCATCTGCAGCCTCTGTATCACTTGTTAATAGAACAGTTTGGTTGGCATTCTGAGCCTCAGAGGGTAAAAAAGGAATATGTCCAGATTCACCTCTCTTCATTTCTGTGGTCCTCAAATGTCTACTTATTTCATGAACCCAAGTGGCCACCTTAAGCAAGTACATTGCAATATTTACTCATTGGTTCTATTCACCTTTTCAAACCTGGAAGGGGGTTCTTCTGATGGGTATTGACATGCCCTACTTTAATGCACCCATCATATTCCCACAGTGATTTCCATAAGGCAGTGCCTCATATGGGCATCCTTTAATAGACCAAGTTTTCATTGTCCTTCCGCATAGCCATATAGCCAGACTATTGGCCAGGCTATTGGCCTTGACCCATGAATTCTCCTGGTTCATAGGTTGATGCTCAACCACTGAGCCACATCAGTCGGGCTATATATGTGTTTCTAAAAGGAAAAAATGTTTCTTGGGATCTTTTGTCTTAGATACTTAAGGAATCAAGTAATAGAGTTCTACGTCTAAAACTTCTGAGATTCAAATCACAGCTTCAACTAACATTCCAGCTCTGCCTAGCTATACTTTAATTTGTACTAGTTCTTAACCACAGAGACTGAAAAATGCTGCCTGGCACAGGATGTGGTCATTTGTGCTGAGGAAAGGCATATGGTGTTGTACCAGCTTTATGCAATTTCTTGAAGGTGACATCCATGGAGCCACACTCAGAATGAGGCAAATAACTACCATCAGCTTGCATTTTTCTGTTAGGGTTTCTTAGTTCTGGTAGGTAATGCCATTAAGTATATGTTTGAAATGATAGTCCCTATACAACATTTGGTCTGAAAATTTATAATTTATGTTAGAATTTGCTATGGGTTCAGAGATAGCTATGAGTTTTATATTCTCAAGTAGTTGGGGCGGGGGCGAGGAGGACAGATTAAATACCCCAAATAAAAAAGAAACCATATAATTTCTATTCAACAATAGGAATTTAAAACAAATATTGTAAAAACCCATGTGGTTCTAGGAATCCATACAATAGTTTGCGGCCTCTGAATTAGACCTGTTCCAGAAATGCTTCCAAGAAGAAAAGAGAGAGATTCAGCCCATGTGATCTACTTGTTTTGGGTCACTTTCAACTGCTGTAGCTGCCTTTGCTATTTCTATCACCTTACCTTTAATACATGTCAATGGATTGATGGAATATCTGTGAGTTTTTCTCAGTTATTAGGCCTCTGGGAGTGTCATACAGTACTTGGTATAAACTAGAAGGTATAATCAACCATTCTAAATAATTTGGGAGAGAAGAAATGGTTCTTCTTTCTAAGCCTGATTTAGAAAGAAATGAATAGGTTAACTTTAGTGTTGAAAAAGTAATCCATTATTTCATGATTAAGCTCCAAATTGATTACTGTATTATTAATGTTGGCATTTAATCTGGGTCACATACATTTGCAACAGGTTATAACCAGGCCTCTGCCTTTTATTTTATTTATTTTTTAAATATATTTTTACTAGAGGCCCGATGCACGAAATTCGTGCAAGAGTAGGCCTTCCTTTGCCTGGCTGCTGGCACCAGCTTCCCTCTGGCACCCGGGACCCGGGCTTCCCTTGCAGTCCGGAAGGACATCTGGTCTAATTAGCATATTACACTTTTATTATTATAGATTGATTTCAGAGAGGAAGGGAGAGGGGGAGAGAGACAGAACCATCAACAGGCCCCTGCCTTTTAAAAAAACTATAATATGAACAGTATATTTAAATTATACATGCTAAATTATAAAATAGAATTGAAAAGTAGGTGGTGTGGCTCACTGGCTTAGCGTCAACCTATCAACCAGGAGGTCACAGTTCAATTCCCTGTCAGGGCACATGCCCGGGTTTCGGGCTTGATCCCCAGTAGGGGGCGTGCAGGAGGCAGTTGATCAATGATTCTCATCATTGATGTTTCTCTCTCATCATTAATGTTTCTCTCTCTCTTTCCCTCTCCCTTCCTCTCTCTGAAATCAATAAAAACCATTTGAAAAAGAGAGAGAGAAATGCAGTTAAGGGCTGCATAACTAAGGTAGAACCTCAGCTTTTTATTTTAGTCCTTCTTCCTCTGAAATTGGATCCTCATCTTTGCCATTTCCCACTTAGAATATGGAAGGAAAGATTCTGTCCTGGCATGTATGTTTTGAAGTTGTGATTCTACATGCATATGCTGGTGGCATTACTTTTCTGTCTTTGAATAATTAGGGAATATTTATTTGGCTACTAACTCCCTGCATTGAACACACTCTACTGGCCCCATTTTCAGCAGCCCCCTGCCAACCACCATTCCTTTCTACTTACACTAGCAGTTTGTTCTGAAGATGCTACGGGGCAAAAAGTACACAATGTACCTCACTATCCATCAGCATCAGCTATTTACCCTAAGTTGTACATTTACCCTTTGTTTAGTTTCATAGGGCTTCTACTACAAATGACCGCAGTGGCTGAAAACAACAAAACTTTATTCTCTTACAGTTCTGGAAACCAGGAGTCCCAAGCAAGGTGTAAGCACAGTCATTTTCCTCTAAAGCAGCAGTCGCCAACCGGTGGTCCGTGGCCCACTGGTGGTCCGTGAGGTCCGAAAGGTTGGCAACTGCTGCTCTAAAGGCTCGCCCTTTACAGGCTCTAGGGAAGAATCCTTGTCTTTTCCTAGCTTCTGGTAGCTTCTAGCTATCCTTGGTGTTCCTTGGCTTGTGGCAGCATAACTCCAGTCCCTGCTTCTGTCAGCACATGGTCTTCTTCCCTGTCTTCTCTTCTTGTAGGGACACCTGTCATTGGATTAAGGGCCTGTCCTAATCCAATGTGACTTCATGTTAACATTGACCTTATTTCCAAATAAGGCCCCATTCAGAGGTTCCTGACAGACATTAATTTGGGGGGATATTCAATGCTAGTACTACATCCTTCATCTCCCAAATTTTTACAACTGAATATAAAATATACCTGGTCCTCATGAAATAGATTTCTTTTTAATTAATTGTACAGTGGTGATCAATTAGTGTATTTGTTTAAGTACTTTTGCTGTGTAAGAGTTAGGATAGTACCTAATTCCATGAGAAAAGTTGAACTTGATAATTTTTTGAAAGGCCTTGCATTTTCTCTCTTGCAATACCTTATGTGAAGCTTAAATCAAAGATAAGAACTTTCATTAGAAAGTGTGCTCAAAAAATTTTTCCCTCTTAGGAGATAAAGTTCCCATCTTCAGTAGCTTTCCATGTCAGAGTCTCAATCTTTTTTTAGGTGTACAACTTTTTTGCACTCATGAGAAATACAAATTACTT